TTAATTCTTCCAATTCATGAACACAGGCTGTCCTTCCATTTATTTGTGTCTTCTTTAATTTCTTTCATCAATGTGTTGTAGTTTTCAGTGCAGAAATCCTTCACCTCTTTGGTTAAATTTATTCCTATGTATTGTTGCTGATGCAATTGAAAATGGGATTGTTCCCAGATAGTTAATTGTTAGTGTATAGAAACGCAACTGATATTTGTATTTTTTTATATCCTGCAACTTTATTGAATTTGTTTAGTTTTAACTAATTATATACCACCATTACAATATTAGATAATTAGATTTTGACTACATATTTACCATTAATAATGATTTTTGCACATTCATGTGTTTTTATAATGTTAATTAGCATTAAAAATTTTCAGCTTGAAGAACATTCTTTAGCATATCTTGTAAGGCAGATGAATTCCCTCAGATTTTGTTTTGGGAAGTTTTCAGCCATTATTGCTTTAAATAGATGCTCAGCCCCTTTCTCTTTCTCTTCTTCTGGAATTCCCATAATGCATGTATTGTTTCTTTTTATGTATGTCCCCCAGCTCCCACAGGCTTTCTTCACTCTTTCATCCATTTTGTTTTTGCTCCTCTGTCTAGAAAATTTCAAATGATTTATCATCTACTTTATTGATTTTTCCCTCCGCTTGGTTGTGTCTGCTGTTGAAGCTCTGTTTTGAATTCTTCAGTGTTGTCATGGTATCCTTCAGCTTTAGAATTTCTGTTTTTCTTTTTTTGATGGTTTATATTTCTTTGTTTAACTTCTTATTTTGTTCATGCATTGTTTTCGTAATTTTGTTTAGTTGTCTATCTGTGTGTTCTTTTCATTTACTAAACTATTTAAGAGGATTATTCTGAATTCTTTGTCAGTTCATAGATTTCCATTTCTTTAGTTATTGGGGCTTTCTTTGTTTCTTTTGATGGTGTCATGTTTTCCTGATTCCTCATGAGTTATGATCCCCTGCATTGGTATCTGTGCATTTAAGTACGCAATCTCCTCTTCTAGACTTTACAGGTTTGCTTTTGACCTTCACCAGTCAGCTGGCAGCATTTTTGGGCAGGTGGAGCTTGCTAGTGATGTCTCTTGTTTGGGCGAGGCCACTGCATGTTCTCTGAGGTTCTGGGAAATGTTGCTAGCTGGGTTCTGTGATTGGGTGGAACTGCTGGCTGGGCTCCTTGTGTGGGTGGAGTTTCTGGCTATGTCCCATGATCAGGTTGGGCCACTAGCCTTGCAATCAGCTCTGGCTGGGTGAGCTGGCAGGCTCTTCCCTGGCAGGGTGGTGCCAATGGTTGGATGCCATGAAAGGGCTATGATGGGCTGGGCTCTGCAATTGCTCCTGGTTAAGTGGGGTTTCAGGCATGCTTCCCAACTGGAAACATGCTGGCTGAGCTTCATGTTTATGTGGGGCCACAGGCTATGCCCTGAAGTTGGGTGGGACTGTAGGCTGGTCCTATAGCTTGGTGGTATTGTATCCTGGGCTCCGAGGCTGCCCAGGATTATTGATCAAGATCCCTGGTTATGTGGGGCCAGGGGTTATGCTGAACAGTTGGGCAGGGCTGCTGGCTTGACTGTGTAAGCAGGGCTATAGGATGGGCTTCTTGGCTATGTGGGTTCTCTGGCCAGGCTAGGTGGGACTTCAGGCTATGCTCAGCAGTTGGGTGGGGCTGTGAATTTGCTTCCCTGCCTCTGTGGGATGGTAGTATGGCTCAGTGACTGGGGACCCAAATTAGGCAGAACTGCCAACCAAGCTCTCTGTCCAGTTAGGGCCACTGGCTCCTCTCTGCAGACGGGCATTGCTGCTGGCTGAGGTCTTTGCTGAGGTGCCACTGCAAGCAGAAACATGGTCTGCCAAGGTCTGAGGGCTGCTTACTGTAAGCCTTGTACCCCCCTTCTCTATTTCTCTCTGATCCCCAGTGGTCCTTGTGAAGTGAGACCTGAGTGGGCTGGCCAGGAAGCATCCTGCAACTCTGGGTGAGCTGGATACCTTGGGCTCTCTTTTTCCACTGGAGAAACCGTAGGCCCCCTGGGTTTTTTGATGCAGTGCTGCTCAGCCTGGAGGAGGGGTGATGCAGTCAGAGTGTAGCCATTCCTCTCAGCCTTCTAATGCAGTCCTTCTCCTTCTCTGTTTCAGAGGACTGCTTCAGCCTCACCCCTGGGTGCTGGGATTTTTACCATGGTGACTTGCGTATGGATAGTTGCTAGTTGATTTTCTTGGGATGGGGACTGACGTCAGAAAGGGCCTATGTCACCATCCTGATGGCCTATTGCAGCTCTGAGCAGTTGTCAGGTGTGGTGTAAGTTAACTTCAGTGTGTAGCCAAATAATTATGGGTGGTTTGCTCATTTAAGTCATAGTAACAGGAGTTTGTATTTCTTACTGAGCAGAGATTGGAAACTAATTACCCCCTTATAAAAGTCAAGAGTAAAATAGTTTTTTTTAGTTTCAAGTTTGTGCACAAGGCATATTTCTTGGATTAGGAAGCATGGGTTTGTATCAAGCCTGCTGATCCTATAGGAAGTGGGATTGCTCAAGAAATGTATTGCTAGCTAGTATCTTTAGTGTAAGTGAAACTGGGATTACTCTTAAAAACCTCATGATGTGTAGGGTCAAGGGTGTTTAAGGAGAAAAATTATACCCTGGGCCCAGTGGGGCCTGGAAATGTTATTGAGCAAGTTCTTCAGGCAGCACAAAAGGATTTGATGCCATGAAGGAAGAGATAAGTAACTTTTAAATGGGGAAGGAGAACTTGAGTTAAAATGATTCTGGGCTTTGGAACCAAATGGAAAGAAAAGGCCAAATGTTCCCCTGTGGTTGTTGAGCTTCCATCAATAGTACAAAACTGCTTGGTTACCTCTTATTAATTGTAGGAAGGGAGGCCAGCATTTTCTGATCACTTACTCTCTCTGCTGATATTTTGCTATATGTTAAAGAGTTTTACTTCCACAAGTAAGATGTGAGGTGGGTGGTAGCTATCCCATTTGAGGAATGATGGGCCTATGTGTTAGATTTAATGGCTATGTCTCCAGGATTAAGTCAATAGCTCACTTGGGCACAGAAGTGACTAGTCCTTTGATTATATTTAAAGAAGGGCCACTGGAAAGCAATACTTTAGTTGGCAAACTTTATCTGTAAAGGGCTGGATATTAAATATTTTAGCCATTGTGAGCTATATGGCCTCTGTTGCAACTGCCCATTTCTGCCATTGTAGCAGGAAAGCGGCCATAGATAATTTGTAAATTAGTGGGAGTGACTGTTTCAATGGAACTTTATAAAAACAGGTGTTGGACCACCATTTGGAACTCCTGGTTAGAGGAACAAACCTATATGGAGAAGATTGTAAGGCTGGTGTGTTTTATCAAGAAAACATGAATGCAAGCTTTATACTCGGCACATGGTAATTGCTCGATAATTATTTAACAGGCCAGATCCATGAGCTTGTATTTCTGCTGACGTAAACAAATAAAAGTAGACTTTAACTGCATTTTTACAAATGAGGTTGGATATTTAAAAAGAGGTTCTTTTTGAACTAGGTTGATTGTTAGATCTTGTCAGAGGAGCTTAAGGGCTTTGGAAGTCTTTATCAACAGGGGAGCTGTACAATGTGGGTTAAGCTCAGTCCTGTTTGAGGACACTGGATTGATGGCATTTTAAAATGTACTACTAGGCCATAGAGGCAGAGAGAGATTCAAGAACGATGAAGGAAGAATCAGTGAGCCATAGTGATTGATAGCATGCAGAGTGGTGTGGAAGGAAAGGTCAAAGATCAAAGTTTTTAACTATAATGATCTAAAGAAGAATGGTGTTGACATCAACAACAGAGATGCCATGTCTGAGCTCCAGAATTGCAAGACGACACTGTGATTAGATTTTTCACGTTATTAAAGATAGAGTGTACTCGACTTTTTCATTCCTGGCCCTCTAGTCTTCCTCTGCAGTGTCATATTATGCTTGTGTCACCTGGGAGAATTTCTGGTTGAGTCATTCAACCAAATGAACAATACTTAGTGAGCATCCACTGCGTGCCAAGCATTGTAAGAGGCACTGCACCCATACACCTGATTATGGCTTTGCTTATTTCTTTGCATGTTTAAACAGTAAGTACAGAGTTGGTGGATTTTAAACACTTTAGAATAAATTCTTCCTTCTGTGTTATATTTGATAAATAACTCTGCCAGTTACTCTGTTTGGTCACATCTAAAGCCCAAGCCAAGACTTCTCTTGTAGACCAAACTCCCATATTTTCTGTGATTGCTTAAGAAAGAAGATTCTGAGCAAAGAACTAGAAAACCTGTCTGTACTGTAAGTTCTAGCATTCAAAATAGAGACTCTCAAGCTGATCAGGGAAAGAAAATGTCCAGCCCAATGAAAGTGCCTGCTATAATGTCATCTTTATACCAATAACTTACTACTATCTATTTACTATTTACCACTATCAAATCATAGGAAAACACAACTCCTGGCAATTAGTAATAGCATGTCTACTGTGGGCAAAGAAATTTAATATGGACTCTGAGAAGGAGACAATTTTAGGACCAGGTTACAGGTGCGTGGGTAATTTGAAGAAAGGAAGTTGGATGGATGAGGAAAAGTTTCAAGGTTAGCTCATTAGAAGAGGGCAGAACAGGTACAGAGAGGCAGGGAGAACAGGGTGGTTGTGAGGTTGGCATGACAGTGGGAGGTTAGAATCAAAAGCTGTGTTGTTGCACCAATGTCTCTGGCATGCTTCTCGTCATGATGGGCAGAGGGAGGGTGAGTTGTAGTGTGTCCTGTGGTCATTGGCTTTATTCTGAAGGTGGTCTCTGAAAATGGTACCTCCAGGTGGAAAGAAACCCCTCCCCCACCAAAATTTGACTTATCAGTAGCAATACATTCTTATGAAAGAAAAACACCTTCTTTATTCTTTTAAGTACTATTGGCTCTGGCCGATTACCACTGAAGGCTCTGCAGAAATGAGAATCCCTTAATCAAAATGTGATAAAACTTTCTACGAACACAATACCAAAAAGTTTGGAAGAACTGTTGTTATCTGAAATTCCTTTCAAGTTAGCTTTGAGTGGATCAGAAAGATCAGTGACTCCCCAAGAATTTAAAATACTTTTTAAATTGAAATGATTTTGGATCCTAAATCTGAAAAACAAAAATCATCAACTTCCATTTAAAATTTTTCATTCAGTCTACTTTTATACACACCATCTGACAGCCAAACTCCCAACTTGGAAGTCAGGGTTCTCCAGGCTCATTTCCAGCTTTATCTTTCATTTTTCCTTCCCATAAACCGTACTTACTGAATAATCTAACCACGCAGGGCTCTCTCCCACCTCGGTACTTTTGCCTCTGCTGTTTTTCCCAGGTGTCCTCCATCTCCCTTGATTGCCTTTGAATTACTATCCTTTTCTCTAAGTCCAATTCAACTGTTAAACCCTCCTCTCCAGCTGTTTTGCAACCTTTGGTTATTAAAGCCCCATTTACACTTTGTTCTACTCATTTGATGTATAGAACATTTTTCTTCCTATTACAGTTACTTACGACATTATAAGCTACTTGAGAAGAGAGGCAATCTCTCTCCATTTTTTATTCCAATAATTAATATTTACTGAGTGCTTACCATGTACCAACACTAAGAAAAGCATGTGGATTATTTCATGTTCACATAACAATGTTATTATTATCCTCATTTTACAGATGAGGAAACGGAAGCTCAAAGAGTTTAAGGAACTTGCCCAGGATGACGTAATGAGTGTGCCGTGGAGCTCAACTCACTTCGAGGCTGTCTGAGTGCAGAGCTTGCCATCTACACTTTGCTACCTCCCACCTCGTGTGGCATCTCACACATAGTAGGTGCAGAAAAAGTTGTTGACGAATTGACAATTAATAGAGTGTCTCATTTCACATGTTTATATTTGATAAGACATATTTTCATGTCTGCTGTAAGCGGTGTATGCCTTCGACACACAACAGGGAAGGAATGCAGTTAAAGCCTTGCTTTGGCTAGTAAGTCCTGAGAGCTGAAAGAAGAAGCACACTAACTTTGCAATATTTCCCCAGAGGCAAAGTATTTAAAGTTTTACTGTTGAAGCATCTTTAAAAGGATTGCTGACATTTTTCTTTAAAAATAAAAAGTTCAAAATGGAACTTAGATAGTCTTTTTCTATAATCCATGTAGAGCTTGTAAAAATATTGGACGAGACCATTTAATATCAAAGGTCTTCATTGCCATACAAGGCAATGTGACCAATATTTCAAACAAAAGTATCAGATTTTCTCATAAATGAATGTTTTGGATCTTCAGAATTGTTTCCAGAAAAGGTACATGCTTTCTCCAAGTCAATGCTGACATGTCTCAAAAAAATTTTGGACCACCTCTTCTGAAATTTTCTTAAATATTTAAAATACATCCTTTGAAGATGCTTAATGCTGAGACATGGTGGTTAAGAATATGAACTCGGGCATCTAATGCTGGGGTTTGATTCCTGTCTCAGCTTCCTAGTAGCTGAGGGACCTGGGACAAGTTACTTTAACTCTTTTGGTCTCAGTTTCCTCACCTGTGAAACAACCCTAGTAGTGCTTAGTTCTTAGCTTTGTGAAGATCAAGTGAAACAATGCCTGTAAAGTGCTTAGAACAATGCCCAACACAGCTCATGTACTTTATTGTTACCATTGGGATTTTATTGTTTCTCAATGACATTGAGAAAGAGGTAAGGGATGTTTGCAGCCTAGTAATGGCGATTATGGTAGGTGATAAAACTGGGTAATATCAGTTTTAGTAACTAAAGATAATAGTAAAAGTGAGGCATATTTATAAAAGATGAGTGATTTTTTTCTTTTATGGCTATGAAGGCTGGTCCAGAACAAATGCTACAAAAATATCTTGAGTTAAAAAAACACCCTTTAGCAAAACCAGACAAGGATATCACAAGAAAAGAAAACCATAGACCAGTAATATCCCTTATGAATAGATACAAAAATCCTCCACAAATACTAGCAAATTGAATCCAGCAACATATAAATTACACCATGACCAAGTGGGATTTACCCCAGAAATGCAAGGTAGGTTCAACATATGAAAACCCATCAATGAATAACACCATATTAATAGAATAAAGGACAAGGGCCACATGATCATCTCAATAGATGCAGAAAAAGCATTTGACAAAATCCAACACTGTTTCATTAAACACAAAAACAAAAACCGTTCAACAGATTTGGGATAGAAGAAAACTTTTTCAACCTGATAAAGGGCATCTACAAAAAACTCACAGCTAGCATCATACTTAATGGTGAACAACTGAATGATTTCCCCCTAAGATCAGAAACAAGACAAGGATGCCTACCATTTCTATTTAACCTTGTACTGGAGAGTATACAAGGCAATTATGAGAGAAAATGAAATAAAATGCACCCAGCTTAGAAACAAAGAGGTAAATCTACCTCTGTTCACAGATAACTTGGTCTTATATACATATAGGAAATATGAAGGAATTCCCCCACAGGAAAAAAAAAATGTTAGAGCTAATAAGTGAATTCACCAAGGTGACAAGATATAAGATCAAGATACAAAAATCAACTGTGTTTCTTTATACTAGCAATGAACAATTTGAAAATGAAATCCCATTTATAACAACATCAAAAAGAATAAAATACTTAGAAATATTTAGATATAAATTTAACAAAAGCAGTGCAAAACTTGTTCATTGAAAACTACAAAGCATCATTGAAAAAAACTAAAGAAAATGAAAGATCCTGTGTTCATGGATTGGAACGCTTACTAGTGTTAGAAAGCAATATTCCTCAAATTGATCTACAGATTCCACACAATCCTTAACAAAATCCCAGCTGCGTTTTTGGCAGAAACTAAGTTGTAATAGTTCTTTATATATTCTGGATACTAGTCCCTTATCAGCTATACAATTTGTAAATATTTTCTCCAGTTTTGTAGGCCGTCTTTTCACTTTCTTGATGGTGTCTTTTGAAGCATAAAAGTTTTTAATTTTGATAAAGTTCAATTAATCTATTTTTTTCTTGTGTTTTTTTGTGTGCTATCTAAGAAACCATTGCTTAACCAAGGTCACAAAGATCTATGTCTATGTTTTTTCTAAGTGTTTCAGCTCTTATAATTAGGTCTTTAATTCATCTTGAATTGATTTTTGCATATGGTATGAGGCTGAGGTCCAATTTCATTCTTTGCCTGTGGCTACCCAGTTGTCCCAGTACCATTTATTGATAAATCCCACTGAATTTTCTTGGTACCCTTGTCAAAATCAATTCACCATAAATGTATGGGTTTATTCCTGGATTGTCAATTCTATTCTATAGGCATAAATGTCTATACTTTGCCAGTACCACATGGTCTTGATTACTGTAGCTTTTTAGTATGTTTAGAAATTGGAAGTGTGAGTCCTTCAACTTTGTTCTTTTTCAAGGTCATTTTGGCTGGCTATTCTGGGTCCCATGCATTTCCATATGAATATTAGGATCAACTTAGTGTCTAGAAGTTTTTGCTCTTACTAAATGAAAAATGCAGGCTGACTTTAGAACAGGTCATATTAAATGATGAATGAATGATTTGCAAAACTAGAGGTAAATTCTAGCCCAAAAGCTGACTTGTGTCTACCATGGTCCAAAGTTTTGTACTTAAATTTAGTCCTACAATAATAGTTTTAATTATTTCTCTACTTATTCCCTAAAGTGTTTTAAGCTAATTTTTTTTCTTTAACTTTGTGAGTTTTGCTCGTGAACTAGCCTCATTTCCTTAAAAACTTCTATTCTTTTTGGATAACAGGCTTGATAGTCATGATAGTCTTGATAGAGATTAAAAATAATAATAATAAAGTTATATTACCAGAGGGTAAAGGAGGAGAGGGGGTGGTAGAAGAGGGTAAAGAGGGTGAAATATATGGTGATGGAAGGAGAACTGACTCTGGGTGGTGAGCACACAATGTGATATATGGATGATTATTATAGAAATATATACTTGAAAACAATATAAATTTACTCAGCATTGTCACCCCAATAAATTTAATTAAAACAAAAGCTTTCATGGTGAAGTCAAGTATTAACTAATACTTGCGTTACTATGATCTCTGCTTTCCTGTCCCTTCCTTGTCCTCTAGTGTTTTTCAGGGTTATTCCTTAAGCCTTGTGAGCTCTAAAGGCAGAATCTGTGACAGTGGAAAGTTCTCAGTGGAGCTGGGCATTTCCCTGGGGCCTCTTTCTTACATCAGCTTCTCTAGGATGAGGTCAGCCATCTGTCTCCTAATTCCAAAAAGATTTGTGGCAGACTTCTACACCAGGTTGCACTTCCTCTCTACTTTTAACATTGAAAGCTCCCCTTCCTTCACTGAACTTCCCTCAAATATAACGGAAAGATTAGTGTTGCTTCTGATCTCTGCCAGAGAGATCTGTTGCAATATCCAGTCTTCGTGCTTTGATTTGGGGTCCAAATATGTGATTTGGAGAGATAATCTTTATCTTAGAGTTAATTTAAGTTCACCTTCTGCCCTGGCTATGCCAGATGCCACTTTAGACCTTGACCCTGAACTTACTGGGTCTCTCTTTGCGTGTTTTTATTCCAGTGCCCGGACTTATTTTTAACTCTCCGAGGGAGTACAGCCAAAGCGTCTGGCTCAGCACTGCTGAGAGCCTGGTCAGTAGAGGCGGCCAATGGGAAGGAGCGTGAAGAATCCACATGCTGAAAACGAGCCCTCGGACAACAGCCCTCACTTAATGCTGGTCTATAAATTAATTATAAATGTACTCTGCTGTCAAATGTACTGGGAAAACTTATCATTTAAAGACGTTCAATTAGGAATGTTTTGTGAAGTAACGAGTTTTACAAATAGGTTTTGCTTTGGAAAAGCAAAAATCTAGCACCGTCATTTAACTTTTTAACAATTTATATTTGTACCCATTGGGTTTTCTTAAAGAAAGTCTCACCTCTATTTACTTAGAGGTGGGAGAAGGAAACCTTCAGCACAGAAATGTAAAGTCTTAAATTTTTATGCCTTAATTTGTCCTCTGATTAGAATTATATCTGTGTTTGTTCAGTTACGTAAACTATCTTACCTCTGGTTTGATATATACGAGTTGTATACGAGTATTCTTAGAATGTGGTAGGATTTGGGGTACATTCTTCCAAGGTAACTGCACTGCCCTTCTTTTCCTGCCCAGGCAGCTGGTTGTGGCATGAAGCTGTAGTGAGGGCCGGGGGCTCTAGTCTGGTCCAGTAAAGGTATGGCATCTCCTCTTGAGAAGACCCCAGGAAATTCTTTTCAGTCTGTGTCATGAGCTAGTCAGCAGTGACACTGAAATAGACCTAAACTCTAGGGTAACTCCCCCTGGCCTAACTTCTAGGGGTGCATTAGACAAGCTGGCCAAGTGGTTAAGGGCAGACCCTGGAGTGAGCCCACCTGGGTTCTCTAATCCAGGCCTAGCCAACCGGATCAGGCTGTAGAGCTCCCTGTAAGGACAATGCAGCTGCTTACCTGGGCAGGAATGCATCCATCCTGCTCTCCTCAGGCTGGAGGTCCAGATGTGGATGATGCTGGCTGTGAGGTGAGGCTCAGTGTGGCTCAGAGGGGTGTCTTTGTCATGAGGCAGCACCAGGAGTAGACTCACTGCACTTCCCAGGTAAGGCAGCTCCAGTACTTCCATCTGATGGCCCATGGGGTCCTGGAACTGGCCTGGAAGTTCAGTGGATGGGGGATTAGATCTGTCCCAGGAGTTAGGGAAATCTAGCAGTGCCAGACCTTGGGAAGGGCCAGCTCAAAGAACTAAAAACAATATGTTTTGTTAACAAGGTGTCTATCTCACTCTAAGGAAACAGTTTAAGACCAAAGATTGTTGGGCGCTGTGGTCACCTTTTCTGATCTTAGGACCAGAATCTCTAAGATCCCTTCTCAATGCTTGAATCACAGGGCCTGCAGTGGCTGAACATGGTGGGGACTGTGACACATGGGAAAACCATGGACCCTGTCTTAAAGGGGCAGGTACTCCAATCCTGACCTATTATAGCCACGTGGAGACCTGGGCTCTTGGTGCCAGATCTTCTTATTTTTTAACAAAAGCTGTAAACCCCGGTGTCACGTGAAATTTCCCAATTCTTAAAACACTGCATAGGCCTAACACAACATGATTTGACCTGAGGGCAGATAATTTGTACCCTGTGACATAAGCAAATAGATCCTTGGTTGGACAGCTGGGAGTTTGTGGGTAATGGCAATGGCTGGCTGAGGACAAGTCCAGCCTATTGAGCAGAGCATGATTTCAGAAGTACATAATGGCACAGGTGGCAGCAGACATAGATGGCCGGGGACAGGGAGACCCAACAAGGGTTGCAGGTGAATGCATAGGCAGTGACCAGACCCAGTGATGGGGCAAGGAGGGCAAGTAATGTGGAGTGATCCAGGCAGGCTGGGGAGACCTGGCAGCCTCCAGGGAACTCCAGGCCTGACCCCTTCCCTGAGAGGACAGTGAGGACTGGTCCCTAGTGTTGGGGGCCAGCAGAGCTGGCTGGCCACTCAGGCAAAATCTTAAGCTCAGTGGAGAAAGATAGGGGCATGGTTCACACTCCATACTCTATCTGTCCAAACAGTAGTTGCTCAGCCTCTGTTACATGCCAGCTGCTGTGCAGTGCCTGCTGGGAAGCACAAGAGCATCAGGAAACACCAGCCAGCATGCAGCTGACAGCCAGCTCCTACAGTGCGGGTCACAGCAGCAATGGGCAGGTGTTAGGAACAAGGACTACACTACGTTGTAAATGTACGTTTACTTATCCAAAAGGCATTGTTCCATTCCCTTCTTACTTGACCTCTAGTAACAATTATTGGTCGAATAAACAAATGAATAAATTCACTGAGCGCTCACAATATGTCCTGCGTGGACTCAAAGCAGGGTGATTGCAAGCTTTCTACATGCTGCAGTTTCGAAAATTCTGGTTTAAGTCTCATTGCCTTTTTCCTAGATGAGAACATCATTAGTCCCACAAGGTGGAGGGAGCTGAGCCCGCCAATGAGGGCGAGGAGCTGTGAGGGGCAGGGTGGCATCTGAGGTCCCTTCCTCCCTCGCCTGCTGGGGCCCCACAGAAGCATCCACACCACACACCAGTCTGCCGGGGTGGGGGCTCTCGCTGGCATCACACACCACCCCTTGACCAGGATGAGTGACCATCAGGCAGAGTGGGCAGGGAATACGGTGGTATTTCAGAGCCATGGCACTTTCAGTGTAAGCAGGCTTTCGAGAGCCTTTTAGATGCAACTCTCAATCTTCTATCCTTTGTCAGCACCAAACAGTGAAGCAGTGATCAATGTATGGGAATACCTGCCAGGGGGAGGGGGTTTGGTTCAACATTTTTGGTTTCACACCAACTCCCCCATTTACTAAGTGCAGAGGGAAATGTCAAGCATGAAATGGGTTTCTCTTCCCCGCCTGCTTCCTGACTGTCCTCTCTGAGTCCCACAGCTTCCTGATCTTCCCTTATTCCACACATTGCACAGCAGAGGGAACCACAGAAAAAGTCAGCGCAGACCTGGCCTCTCGCGGCCCATATTGCTCCCGAGGTCCTCTCACTTTAGACGTGTCTGGTGGGAGAGAAGCTCACCATAGTTGGCCTCAGCCATTTGGTACATCGTGGGGACCTGGAGGACCAGGCCTTGTGCCCAGGTGAAAGACAGGAGCTGAGTGTCCATGAAGGAGAATCTCTGCCACCAAGCACTTTGGAAAGACATGCTGCTTACAAACACCAGCTGAGCAAACGCTGTACCACCTTGGTCCCACGTCGAGCCCCCTGGGCCCTCACCTGCAAGCGGGAGAGTGACTGTGTGGCTGACATCTGCGTACATGCTCTGAGGGTGCTGAGGCAACCCCGAAGTTGGGTTTGTAGCCTGTTTGTTAGTACCTATTAGTTGCAGAATCGTGTTGCTGAAGACCAAGCTTTAATTCTTTCCTGAACAGGTTGGGATGCTCTGGCTGGTTCTGGGTGGCTCCATCTGCGGCTGTTTCCCAGGAAGCATTAGGCATGTCCTGCTCAGGCAGAGACCCCTGGGAGGGACTGATTGCTGTGCTGGGAGATGCTGCACAATGCTCTCCTCACTGTACCCCACCCTCCAACTCCCCAAATGCTGGGCCTCATCCCTGGCAGAGCCTTTGATTAGACAGCAACTTCCTGGGCATAGTCTTTAAATTTATATCTCTCCAGAGAGAGGAACAGACCAACAACCCCTCAAGGAATGATTTTTGCTTCAGGCCTTTATTTATTTAATAAACACGCTCTTTGTGCTAGGCTCTGTTCTAAATGCTATAATAAACCCGCACCAACTTCTCCTACCAGATCTCTTGCTTTTCTCAATTTTACAGATGGGGACACCAAGGCTTGGAGAGGTTGTCCAAAGTCACACACTGTCAGTGACAAAGCCACCATCCACCCAAGATAGAAACCTTAGATTTGAGCCCAAGCAATTTGGCCCCAGACTCTGCACGGCTGCACCAACTGCTCTTTCTTAGAGGACAATCACCCTGGGTGTTGAGAGCTGCTAAGTGTGACCTAGGCCCCCTGGCAGCACAACGAGCTGAGACAGGAAAGTGTTAAGTCAGGGTAGGGTCTCCCAAGAGGACAAACTTCTGCTGCAATTGAGGGAGGCCTAAGTACCCATCCACATGGCTTGTGACAAGTAATGAGTGGTATTCTGTCTTTACAGCCACCTGACGTTAGCCTCATTGAGATGGACAATTTTCTCTTAACTGCACTCTGTCTGGAAGCCCGCTCCTCGGCCTGGATGGTGGTGCCGTTGGACTCACGGAGGTTGGCGGGCTCCAGGCTGCAGTTGCCCCACCAGGAGACCTGCTCCACAAAGCAGTGGGAGAGCAGCATTCCCACCTGCACGACAAGGGTGCAGGCCAGCTCCATCTTGGTGCCTTGCCTGGAGCTGGGCAGCTTGGCATAAATAACGTGCAAGAAGTCTCTCACCATTTGGTTTGTGAGAAAGGTGGATAAATTGATAATGGTATGAGTAGGGAGTTAGCACGACTCCATTTGCGCACTGCATTAAAATGAGGCCCCATCAACTCCTGTTTTATAAAGTTCATCTACCATATACAGTCAGTTTTGTATAGTCACAGCCAAATCACTCGGGAACTAGCCTGGACTCACAGATTAGAAGTTGGGAAGAAAAAATGCTAGCTCTGAAAGAAATCAGGCTGTGATTAAGTTGAATAGAAAAATACTATGGACATTCCAGAGGCTATTTTTCCATAACTCCTTGATTCAGAAATGTTGAGCAGTGCTAGATTAGAGGGCTGGGAAAGCTGCAGGTCTGGTGTGCAGGGTGATGGGGCATCAAATATTTATGAAGTCAACTGGTTTATGGGGAAAGTGGCAAGTAACAGTGATAGACAGTGGCCAGGGTGTCAGGTGATCAATATGTCTTGTACAGGGCCTAAAATCCATCTCCACAACTGCATGTCACAAGCCTGAGTGACATTTGGGTGCAGCGTCTTTTAGAATGATGCTTTTAATTGGAGAAACACAGAGGAAACGTAAGAACATCTCCCATCCCCCACTCCCTAAACCCCAGCAGACAGCTCGTGTTATTAATGTCAGTGAGAGCCGCGAGGAGGTTGAGGAAATAATTAGCATTTGAGAGAGTCGATAGTTTCCACTTTATTGGATGGCAGCTTGACTTCCATTTATTTATTGCTTTTACCAGGGATTGCTTCCTTCCCTTCATGATCAATACTGGATTTCTGTTTCCCTCTATCATTCACATCTGTGGCTTCTATTCTCCCCTACGCTTCAGGAGCTGGAGTGAGGCCTTGCCTCTTGCTGAGTCAGAACACAGCTAAGTATCCCACGCTTCCTGCTTCTGATACAAGCAGGCTGGGTTTTTCCAGCAGTCAGGGCCCCTTCCTGGGCAGGCTGGCTCTGAAACACGGCCCTTCCCTTGTTGCTCTTACCTCTCCTTCCTCTCAGGCACAGCCCTGTGACTGTCCACAAATCTCTGCAGCACCCTGACCCTTCTGGTTCTCTCAGGACACCTGTTGGAATGTATCTCTGAGTTGGCTTGGGGTCCATCCACTCCGACACGCTTCATGTCACAGAGGCCAGGCCAGGAGGCAGCAGGCCGCTCCCAACTTGCCTGGCCAAAGTTCTCAGGGTCGGGGGGACACACAGGCACCCAGGGTACACTCCAGTCAGGGCCCCCAGCCACCAGATGCAGAACACTGTTTCGGGCAGATTTCACTTGTCCATAAACTTTTACTACCAAAGCTGCTTCTTAGGCTCTATAACTGTAATAATGATAATAAAAATATATCTCTCATGAATTACAGCCTACCTTGAATGATTGCCTTTTATTTAAGTGAGAAAAGAAATGAATGAAAAAAATACTTATAATCAGATTTTTCTCTACTGAGGAAGGTCATACGTACTTGTAGCATCATGTTCTTCTAGAAGGTTGACTGTCTACAGGGGTGACTCGGGTCATTTCAGCGGTCCATACTGTAGTGTGACCTTAGGGATGGTCCCAGAGCTGTCCTCTTTGTACCCTCATCCTCTTGGGGCCAGGGGACCAGCCATCCTTTTAGCTGGACTCATTAAAGGACTAGAGTAAATTGGCTTGAGAAACCTTTCCTCCACCTGAGCCTAGTCGGCCCCTGTCCATCTGCACACAGGAAGAGCTTTCCTAGACAGTGTCGGAATACACATCGCTGGAATGAAAAGTAGTGAACATTGACGGTGTTCCAAGACTGTGCCGAATGCTCTACATTCGTGATCACATTTAAAGCCTTTCAGCAATGCTGGGAATTAAGTGCTATTATGATTCCCATTTATATATGAGAGAGTTGGGCTCAGACAAATGAATAAACTTGCTCAGTGTCACCGGGTTGCAGGGTAGGGGCGCTTCACTGCCCTCCTGCCCACAGGTGAAGGACATGTGGGCTGGGGCATTCTGCTGCCCTGCTCGGGAGAGCCTTTTCCTCTCAGAATGAATGTGGGCACGAAGCACCGTGGAGCACAAAGCCTCCGACTGCCTTATTGCCATGCATTTCCTGGGTCCTTGTTGGTGACAGGGCAAAAGGGACTGATGTGAGTGATGACAAAGTGCTCCTCTCCGCAGCATTTGAAAGAGCCCTGTCACTGCTGGCTTCATTCCTCCCCGCCCTCCTGCTCCTCGAAAGCCGTTCTTTCTTGCTGGACAGGGGCTACCTGACTCGAAAGCCGTTCTTTCTTGCTGGACAGGGGCTACCTGACTACTAGAATGCGGGGCAGGGAGGCAGGCAGGGCCAGGAAAACCACAGGGGCTGCAATGGGTCAGGAACATCTGGGGGAGGTGTGGAGAGTATGAGGAGAGGGTCCCTGGGATGGGCGCAGAGAGGAAAGTGCTAGAAGAAGAAATGGCATCTTCATGGGTCTTGCTGCAGACCAGCCTTTTCACTCATTTGTGAGACCAGCGTGGAGAGTGCCTTTTTTTTTTTTTTAAAGATTTTTTTATTGGGGAATTGGAGGGATGGGAACAGTGCTGGGGAATTGGGGGAAGGGGAACAGACAAGTTGCTGTCGTTTTGTTCTTCAGTCTAGTTGTGGAGGACGTTGCTTCACTGGCCCAAGTTGGCACCATCATTGTGCTCTTCCCAGGCGAGGCACATCAGTCGCCGGCTTCTGGACGGCCGCTCACTGTGGCTGCTGGCCGCTCATGCTGGCTGCTGGCTACACATGGTAGCCCATGGCAACCCACTGCCACAGGGGCTGCAGCCTACACCATCGCCGGCGACTCATGGCAGCCCAGCTCCAGGTTGAGCTGTTGTTCAGCATCTTAGCTGTGGAGGGCAGTGTCACTGGCCCTCATATGTGGGATCCGAACCGGGGCCCTCTGGCGTCCCAAGCCAGTTCTTAACCATCGCGCCACTCGGCCGGCCTGAGGCTTCTGTTCTTAGCAGCGTTCTTGTGCTTGATAGAAAGCTGTAAAGTGTTCTTTGTCAGTTTATATGGAAAAGCGATAGAAATCCCTAGAAATTAGAACATCAGGAAATTGTGTGTCTCATGTAGTGAAAACAAAGATGCTCTTTGGGGATATCACTGGTGTCCGTTCTGAATCTTGGGCTGTGTTTGTCTGACCAGCAGGTGGGAATCCTGGCAAAGTTCCTGGTTACATATTGGCAAAAAATGCAGGGAAAAGTGCTCATGTGTCCCACTGCAAGTTGGGTTAGATCTTTCCATCCATGAAACAGGAACAACGTCCCAAGACTCTCGGACATGCTTTAGTGCTGTGTTTTACACATGTTTTATTGGTCCGTATTGATTTGGAAAAGAAAGACTGGGCCAGGGCACGTGGCGGGCACTGGTGGATTGTTTTAAGTAGCACACACATGGTTCTCTGAGCTATCTTGGGGCAAACCTAACTACGGGGTATTCTATTAACTAGAACTCTGTAAGCGGCACAGTCCTGTTCATAATAATTAACCATGATGCCATAAGATAATAAAGCAGTTTACGAATAAGAAAAAAGAAAGGTGGGATCATGTTCCACAGAGTTTGACTAGTATGCATTCTTGACGTGGTAATTCTTTTTTTTTTTTTTTTTTTAATTTTTTTTAGCTAGCCATCCTGCTACCTGTTGGCAGCTCAGCAGCAGCTCGGCTCAGGCCAGGACTCGAACCGCTGTTGCTCGCACTCTTGAGCGAGCTCTTAACTAGCCTACGTGGTAATTCTTGAATGGGCTTCGTGGAAACCCTGCTAATCATATCTGGTTAAGCAGGTACCATGATTGTCCCTGACAACAGAGAATTGACTGTGATCATTCGCCTCTCTCAGCAGGATAGCTACGCTTGCATTTCTCACTCTCCTCTGAATCCTGACCTCTCGGAGACTCTGTTAGGCTGAAATGACTGCTTCTCTTTCATACTTCTATTTGTGCTTCATAATCCTGTTCAGATGTGATGTCTTTTGGGGAGCCTTCCCGATCTGCCAGTGGAATAAATCATGCCTCCCCCTTCCCCCATACTAACTGATTTCAAGTAAATATGCTTACTGCCCTGCATTAGAATGTATTTCTATATGCATCGTCTTGTGAGACTGGGCTGCTCATGCTCAGAGCTTCCTTTTAGATGTGAATGCTGAGCTCCTGGCACAGCACCGGCCTGCAAGGCAGGAGGAAGTCAAGAGTACTTGATGAATTGCATTGTACTGAATCTCATGTGACTGAAGAACAACTCCATGGCTATGTCCATTTCTGTAATATACTTGCTGAGAAAAATTAAGCTCAATAAATTATGTTTGTCTTTGGTTATCCCTGGAGAGAAAACACATTTGCTTGTTGGCCAGCAGGATCATGAGAATTGTTTTGGCCAGGGACGGGGTGTAGATGAACGGGGATGGGAGGCACAGCTGGTGCTTGTGGCCGGACATCTTGAGTGATAACTTTTACTTCCCACCTCAAGATTCTAGCTCAAAGGGAGTTCTCACCGAGACTGTGTTGGTATTAGCCCTTGTACTTTGTAAAAAAAAAAAAAAAAAAAAAGTTAACTTACACAATTGTAACTCCCATCATTTTTTACTGTCAACTTATTCTAAGACAGAGAAAAAAATTATGTGGATGAGTGTCTGGGTGATCACGAAGTTGGTAGGTTGATACCAAGGCCAAGCATTAAGCCAGAGGCCTGACCTGGCATTCATGAGACCCTTGCCACTGCTGGTAGAGCTATTCTGAAATACATAATCAGAGAAATATGTTGGTAGATATGGCACTAACTAGAAGTCACAGGTTTATGAAAACAGTTTGGTTAAGGGTATGGGCTCTGCAGCCAGACAGTCTGGGCTTGAGTTTCAACTCTACCACTCACTAGCTGTGTGACCTTTGGCAAGTTGCTTAATCTCTCTGTGCCTAGTAGTAATCTCTGAAATAGGGATGATGGTATAATGACCTACCTCAATAGGGTTGTTGTGACAATTAATTAAATTAATATTTGTGAGGCGCTTCGAATACGGCCTGGCATCTCGTAAGCATTGTGAAGTGAAATTGAACAATTGCCATGGAACCTGAAGTTAAAAAGAAACTGTAAAAATCATCAAGGGTAACAATGATCCAAAGCTTAAATGCCTTCTGCTGCATTCCTGCCAAATGGTCATCCTTCTTTAGGTGCCCACTACTGATAGCTGGGGGCGCCCCATTTCCCAAGGCAGCTTGAATGGGAGAGCAAGGAGCAGAGTGAGTGTGAATGTGAGTGTTAGAGTGAGCATAAGAGTGAGTGAGAGTGAGAGTGAGAGTGAGAATGAGAGTGAAGAGCAGAGTGAGAAGGAGAATGTGCAGCCTTTTATCATGGGTGGTATAACCCAGGGCGTCTGCCAGCTGCCAGCCAGTATTCCCTTGGGCTCCAAACTCCAGGATCTCCAGAGGGGTGGACATGCTGGTGGGATGACAACATTTGTTCCATTTCTGTCTGATGCCACGCTCTTGTAGAGGCAGAGTGCAAACTCAGTCTTCAGCAACGTCAGGTCCTCACAGAGGTTGCTGTTTCCTTCTTGGAGGCAGGAATAGAATGAGGAAGAGAGTGAACAGGAGAGGCTTCATGGAGGCAGGGAGGGTTCCTGCAGTTCAAAGGGAAGAGAATCAGGGTGAGGCAAGAGGCTGTCACATCCTCCCAGAATGGGGGACATCCCGCATCTGTGCTTAGGGGTTGAGAACAGCTTGGGAGGGGGATGGGTATTTATTTAGCAACCTTGGTTACCCACCCTCAGTCCCACCTGGCCACCAGCTGCTTTACTGCATCCTGTGTGTCTGCATTAGAAACCCTCTCTGTGAAACCAAACTGTGAGTTGGAAGACCTGGAGTTTAGGGCTGCTTCTGTCCCTTGCTAGATGTGTGACCTTGGACAAGGTCCTGGTCAGATCAGAAGCAAACCATTATGTTGAAAAAGAAATGTTAGAAGTACATCCTACTTACTTTCCTTGTTACTTAGTCAGCTTCTAGCTGGGCCATGTCTATCATTAATAATAATAATAATAATAATAATAATAATAATAATAATAAATACTATGTTAAAAAGGATGTTGTATTTTCTCAGTCAATCATTATAACAATCTTACAAGGTAGCTGTTATTGTATTTCAAATATAGACATGATGAAGTTTAGAGAACTCAGTGAATCATTTAAGAAAACACATGAGGAATGAAACAGGCCCATGACTCAAGTCCTGGTCTTCTGTGAGTGGGATATAAAATACTGAGGATATAAATGCACCTTGAATTATTGATACATGAGCTAATCATACTTAGAATTTAAGAATTCTTGTAATGTGAATTATTTTTATAAAAAAGAATCCTTTCATAGCAATCGGAATTATACAAACATAACTCCTACCACAGAAATGTCCCCCTCCAAGGAAGAGAGGGCTTAGCTGGAAATTAATGCAAAGAAGAGAAAGTCAAAGTGAACAGTGGTTTTAATGACTATGACACACAAAGAGCCTGCAGCCATTTTTGCTAAGTTGTCTAACTTTGGTATCAGACAGGATTGTTGCGAGAGAGGCCCAGTTCAAAGTCACTTCCTATGAGAAATTTACTTCAGGTAAAGTCCCAAGATGAAAAATCATGCTCTTTCTTACAACTCTCCCTTCCTGCAGCCAAGCACAAAGGCAGTCCTTGGATGACTGCGTGCTGTAGAAGTGGGATGTACGTGTGTGTGGGTTCTTTCTGTATGTGTGTTTGGAGGTAGTGGATCCCAGCTCAGGGTCATTTGTAAAATGACCAAGTCCCAGTGCTCTTACAGCTTCTATCACCTACTGCGGGGACACTCAGCCATCAGACCTTCATGCCCCTGAGATCCCCTCGACCACATTCCTGCCATGGTTCACCATGGATGAGCTGCTTACTCACCAACTCTTGTATCAGACTGTTGCGTCTCCTTGCTTGGTTCTGTTCTTGTGGGTGGGTCTCTAGCAGTAACGTGGTCCACTTTTTATAATAAAAGGTGGTGCAGAATCTGCTTTGAATCACAAGACAGAGCAGGGAGGAAGCTGGCAATTGGCGCCTCTGCAGCAATGTCTCTAACACACGGTCCAAATTCCTGGAGTCTGAGGTCCTGCAGGGAGCCAGGAGAAGGAGCACAGCCAGCAAAGTCCAGGTCAGAAACAGAGCAGGCCCTGGGGAGGGAGCCAGCCACACCCATCAAGCCTTCTTAGGCTGGGACCTGGTTGTACCTGTGAGAAACCCCTCATGTCCCTTTGTCACTTTGAGGAATTCCACTGATAACTCTGCCCTCATGGCTTTTGCGGGGTACCAGGTACCTAAAGCTGCTCCCCTCCTCCTGTGAAGAAAACAATACATCAGTCATTGGGCACTTGATAGTTTTAGCAAATTGAATTCTGCAAAAGAGAAAGAAAACAAGGCAAGATATGCACAATCAGTTGGGGTGAGAGTGACTTGCCTTACTTATTATTAATAAAACTAAATGCACTTATTTATTTATTTATTTATTTATTTATTTATTTATTTATTTATTATTGTTTTTTTTTAGCTGAGCCATCCTGTCACCTGTTGGCAGCTCAGCGGCAACTCAGCTCGGGCTGGACTCGAACCGCTGTTGCTCAGAGCTCAAACCCTTGAGCGAACTCTTAACCAACTGAGCCATTCAGCCGGCCCGCACTTATTTATTTATATGTAATATAAGCACTACTAACAATCTTGTTCCCTCAGAGATAACAGTTAATAAATCCAATGGCGTAATTTGAGAAAGAAATCATGTTATCAATGAGTAAATGTACATTTGGGAAAAGTATAAACAAATTGTGTTTAAGGTCTGTCCTTGTGAACAATTCAGAATTACATACAATTCTATTAAGGCAGCGGTTCTCAACCTGTGGGTCGTGACCCCTTTCACAGGGGTCGCCTAAGACCATCGGAAAACAAAATGATATTTACATTACGATTACAGTAGCAAAATTACAGTTATAGAATAGCAATGAAAATAATTTTATGGTTGGGGGTCACCACAACATGAGGAACTGTATTAAGAGGTCGCGGCATTAGGAAGGTTGAGAACCACTGTATTAAGGTCTTAAGCTATAAAGTGGTCTGCAGTTATTCACTGACTGTGCTAAGCCTGGAGGCATGTGGGAGAGGCCTTTTTGTGAACCAAGGATGACTGACACCAACTCCCCCAAAAGCCATGACATCCAGAGGCCTGCTGCCGCCTGCTGGCTCCTTTAAGGTTCAGCTGCAGATAAAGCTTGTGCAGTAAGCAAGTTGGTAAGGCAGGGTGTCAGGGAGTCACTAGAGTGGGGAGAATTATGGTAACCAGGTTCATGTAAATTCTGGATTGCTGCCAGTGATGAGCCTGGAGTGACTCAGCAAAAGTCTCAGAGCATGTTGAAGCCAGCTGTTGCCTGCTAGGGCCTGCCAGATTCTGAGAGTTTTTCAAGAAAGAGTGCAATGTGGCAGAGCTGGCCACTTACAACAATGTACCTCCAGCTGTGTGCGAGTTGGGTGAGGGGTGGTCCTAGCTGAGTCAGCAGTGTGGAGTAGTGGAGCTCACCAGGCCAATCAGATTCAGATTTGGCCTGTGTGAGGTGGCCTCAACACAGGCAAGATGGTGCCCAACTGCTGGCTTCACGGAAGAAGGACCTTTCAAGAGAAAATGCTATCTTCCAGTTCTCCCGCGAAGACACACACCTTAGTCTGCACCCACCGCATTTGTCTCTGAGGTCCACCAAGTCACCGTCCCACCACTGGAGCCCAAGGTGAGTACTTGTGAGTGAGAGTCTATGCACGTGCCATTTAAGAGGATGTCTGGGTTTCCCACAGCCTTCCGTCCCACCTGAACAGTCCAAATCCCCACTGTTTATCACTCTCAGATGTTGTGGGGGGCTCCTCTTTCTGGCATCAGTACTCTGAGCTGGGGAACCTGGTGTGAGGGCCTGGGTTCCTTTGCTCCTCCGGGGGAGGGGAACCTCCATGGCTGAGATATCCCTCCTGATTCTCAACCGCCACATGTAGGTGTGGGGCCTGTTCCACACCTCTACCAGTCTCATGTGGCTTCTTTATATTTTTAGTTATAGGACTTCTGTTTGGCTAGACTTCAGGTGGCTCTCCAGGTTGCTAGTTATATAATTTAGTTGTAATTTTAATGTGTTCATGGAAAGACGCAGGCACAGTGTTTATTTACTGCGCCATCTTGCTAAGAAGTTTTGTGGTTTATCAACTCTTAATTCTTTTATTCTATGAAAAAATTATAGAATGTAAAATGGTAAATTTTTGCAAGTGTCAAAGGGAAGAAGGTGATGTGATCAATACATAGTTGACATGACCTTGAAGGTTCTAATGGAGTGTGGATGTCACTGAATTAGAGGCAGTGTTGGACAGATGATAGAAACATTCATGGTGTTTTTTTCCCCCTCATATTTTGATTCTGATTGGGAAGAATGATATTTGTGGTTATGACAAGTTGAAAGTACAGATATTGAGACAGAAGCCATGTGTTGCAAACTAGAAGTAAGAGACTACATGATAAATCAAAGAGGTGGATGGTGTTTGCGGATAATATAAATGCTGGGACCATGTGCTCAGGGTCTGTCATGGGCTTGTTCATACTGACAAGCTTTAATGCTCAATCCAGCTGCTCTACATTCCAGTTTGGTTCAAGAACTGGTGTAAATGGCAATTCTGCCTCAAAGCCAGCTCCAAATAAGGCTTTGGGATGAGCTAAAACAGTTATTACTTAGCTTGGAAAATCGTCCTACAAACAGAGCAAATTAAGCAGAGGGTAACAAAGATTGATAATAGAAAACAGGCACCAAAGTGTTTGGCTGACTGATTCTTTATATCTTGCTTTCAGTGCTACTTTCTCATAAATTCCTTTATACTTAGCATTTTGCCTATTTTTATATAGTTGGATTTAAAAAAAGGGAAAGTTGGGATTATTCCATGTTTTCCCCTCTAGCACTTAGGTTGCCATGAGTGGACAGGTGAGGCTGTTCCTCACTCAGCCATCATCACTGTTCAGGAGTTGGCAGGTGTAGTCAGCTGGAAAAATCAGCCCAGTCACTGTCCTCCTTCACCCACGGAGCTGTGAGCATCCCTGATTTATTGCAACGGTCTTTCTATGAGCTTGGCCTTGACCTACAAGGCTTCTTAGAGGAGGACTTGAGGGGCCGCTTCTAATTTATCATAGTTGGTCTATGTCTTAGCTCGAGCTGCTATGACAAAATACCGCAGATTAGGTGACTTAATAGGAATTTATTTATCATGCTTCTGGGGGTTGAGCAGAACTCTGCCGGCTACTGGATGACATGGCTGGACAGCCAAGTAGGCAGGCTGCCCAAATCAGTTAATACACAGTGAAGAGACTGTGACAAGTCACACACACACCTAGGTGGCCCTGAAACCTGAGACCTGGAAAGGGGACCTCCAGGTGATATCACTGGGCTATGGCCCCTTGGCTGTGATTCCTGTAGAGGCTGTGTGTCTGTGTCCTCTTCATTTCCCACACACTGTTCTTGTGGCCTGAACCAACCACATCAGAAATGTCTGCCGGTCACATGGAGGTCACAGCCTGAGAAAAACTCATGAGGCACT